AATTTATCTCTTTATCGAACGTAGGCCATGCTTAATAAAGGCTCAACTACTTCTAAGCCTAAGACAAGTGGACTTATGGATTTTGGTGCCTGCGATTAGAAATCGTTTGTATTATTCTAGAAATCCTATAGTTAAAGAACTACTGTTGCAATAAAAATACTAATTTGACCGCAAATGTTTTGTAGGTCTCTGCTAGTGTAAAAATAAGTTACATATTACAACAGAAAATAACGAACAAACAAAATTTAGAAATCGCTTTTCAGAGTGGTGTTGTGTTCATTTTAAATATACGTGTGTCACTGTGAAGTATATAAAGATTAGATAAATATTGAGAAAGGTAAAATTAAAGTCACAAACTCCGAAAGGAAAAAAATGAGATTTCAACATGAGTGTTTTTTTTTTTTTAGCGCAAAGATACATAATGGTCTACCTGCGATCTGTCCATCACGGGGAATCGAAACAGATTTTAGCATTATAAGCATTATACCATAGACCCACCGGGGGGATTCAATATAAGCAAAGGGAAAAAATACCCTATATTGACTTGTTTTATCATGTCAACGTGCACTACCTTAGTAAAAATAAAATTGAATATATGTTTGTTATTTATAGGCCAGACGTTGCTCATTGTTTAGCGTGCCCCGACTATGAATTCAGGTTCGTGTCCCGTTGTAGTAAAAAACTGCGCTATACGAGTGATTGTCAAAGCCCATCTTTTCTTCGACAAGAGTAGGCAAAGAGTTGGCGGTTAGGTGCTGTTGATTAGCTGCTTTCCCTCTAGTATATTAGTTCAAAATTAGGGATGGCTATGCGCAGATAGCCCTTTGTGCAGCTTTGCATCTAAAAATCAAACAAGCAGTTGTTATTCATATCCCTCAAGATGAAAAGTGCTTTCACTTGCCCTTCATTTTTGTTTTCTTTGTCTCAGTAATTTAAGCAGTGGAAATTTGAATATAAAATGTAAATAGTTATTATCCACACGAAAAAAGTTAAGTATTGAGTAACTGCGTAAAAGTTCTAAAATACATTTTCGATAGGTCTGCATCACGGTTTAACATTTCAAGCGGTTATATTCTATATGAGTTTGTTCTATTACGTTAGAAGTATCGTATTTTTCTTTACATTATTTATAG